AAAGTGCAGAAAGTGCACGACATGCACAAAGTGCACGACATGCACAAAGTGCAGAAAGTGCTCGACATGCACAAAGTGCAGAAAGTGCAGAAATCTGTCTGGTCAATTGTTGCTGCTTGTTTTGGAGATCTCCAACCGCACAAAGTGCAGAAAGTGCACGACATGCACAAAGTGCACGACATGCACAAAGTGCAGAAAGTGCTCGACATGCACAAAGTGCAGAAAGTGCAGAAAGTGCAGAAAGTGCAGAAAGTGCATGACATGCACAAAGTGCAGAAAGTGTAGAAAGTGCAGAAAGTGCACCACATGCACAAAGTGCAGAAGAAAGTGCACGATATGCACAAAGTGCATGACAATGAGAAGGTGGTGACGACTCCCATTATTACACCTTTTCTTCTTGTTAAGCCGGCAGGGTGTTGCCAAGCCATTTTTCTCCGACGCGGCTGCATGCGCACCACGACTTTCGGTGGTCGCGGCTGTCAGAGCCAAACGACTGGCGACGCCAGCTAAAAGGAGGCGGCCCACCCGGGTTTGTTTTTTGGGCGCGCAGGGCGTTTTGAGTCATTTGGCCCTCAGGAGAAAGTGGCTCGGACGCACTGGTGGTTTAATTGAGTGTTTCAGTAGTCACATCTTAAGAAACATTTTTCAAAGCCAGGTAAATGAAGAAATAATACGACACTCTGGCCGCCCCTTGTTAAAAAAAAAAAAAAAGGAGAAAAAAAGAATTAAGCTTAATATGTTGAAAAGTCGTTAATGACTGAAGATTTAATCGGTTGTATTATCTGTTCTTCGTAGAGATTCCGATTTTCATGACTTTTCATGACTTCCAAACTGCACAAGTGCATGGCGATATATCAGGCTGCTAAAAAAAAAATAAAAAAAAAAATAAAAAAAATCAGGCTGGTGATGACCAGTAATAGAATTGAGTACGAACTTACTACCAAGTGTCTTTTTTTCAATATTCGGTTTTGTTTATGCTTCCAACATTCAAAGTCGGACCAATCTTTTTTTTTGCTTTTTTTTCAGTGAGGGATTACCGGCTCCATTTTCATGAGTGGACCAATCTGGAAACTTTAGGAAATCGACTTTACACGGCTTAGGGCATACTCACACGAAGAATTTTTGTACTAAGCTCTGGACGTGATTGCGGTCAGATTCATCTGGGTCTTGCCCTATTTT